GTCACAGTGCTGGGGCTAATTGCCTTCAGCGCTGCTTTAGTTCTTTTTATTCCAAGCCACACCATCTAGTTCTCCCCAGGAGCTGTTGCTCTGAGTTCTTCCTCAGTGCCAAATGCTTAATTGTTCCCAGATAATGGGTGAAATGTACAAGGGTGAAACCTAAAATTTCTTTACTAAACAGAACTATTCCTAGATTTTTTTTTTGTTCATTTTACAACATGATGTTTTGATATAATGATTTCCAGTGAAGTGGTTCTTATACGCCAACAAATCAACATTTTCATTTTCCCGCATAGTTACCCTTTAAATACAAGTATTTCTAATGGAATCTTTAGAATCGCACAAGTGGAGCCATTTTAGAAAGCAGCAAGTTTCACCTGGTGAGCCGTGCATCACTGACAGCCGTTTCTCTCCCCTGTCTACTTTGTTTGAACTGCTTGTTCAGTATAAATTACCTTAGAAACACGGGTGCTTCTTTAGGCTTACAACAGGTATGCTGTCACACATCTTCGGTGTGAAAACACCGTTTAGTGGGTACTTTGGTTTACTCTCAGGGCAACGTTTTAAAAACTGCAAGTCATTAAGAATCATTTAAGGAAAAATGAAATACTAAGCATTTGTCTTTGCTGTCTTTACAGATCGAATAAGAAAATAGCAATGATCAGCACCAAGCTCCTTATGGAGAAAGAGCGGATGAAACATTTTCTCAGCACTCTTTCTACAAGGCGAGACCCAGAGTCACCTTGTGTTGGAAATCTTACTAGTAGAGGACTCAACAGAAAATATGTTCCCCAAATGTCCATCAGAATTCCTACTTCAAACCCACAGACTTCAAATAACTGCAAGAACTACTTCACTGAGGTTAGTTATATGATCGTTTCTCTTTTGGCTTTCATTTCTCTAATATAATTCCTCTTTGTAATTTGGTGAAATACTGAGTTGTTCTGTTGACTTATGCATGTTAAGTAAACATCATAATTAGCTATGTTAACACAGAAAGGAAATGGGAACTTTTCATTTTTTAATTCCCTGGAGCTCCCATTTTCAAGAGATACCCATTTCCTAGCTTTATTTCAATACATGTGACTAAACTGACACATTTAAAATGTCTTTAAAAGCTGCATTTTAAGTTAGGTTTTAGAAAATTGGCCTTGTTATTGCCTAATAACTGACGATATAAACCTTGAGATGCTTTGGCTTACTCTCTATATTCTAGTTTACGTTGCAGTGGCATACTACCCCCGCCGCCTTTTTTGTTTTTTTCTTTTCTTTTCTTTTTTTTAATACAGTGTCTCACTCCTGTTGTCCAGGCCGGAGGGTCGTGGCACCCATCTCGCTCACTGCAACCTCCACCTCCCAGTTCACACGATTTTCCTGCCTCAGCCTTCCAAGTAGCTGAGACTACAGGCGCCCACCATTACACCCAGCTAATGTTTGTATTTTTAGTAGAGAAAGGGTTTCACCCTATTGGCAGGCTGTTCTCAAACTCCTGACCTTGTCATCTACCTGCCTCAGCCTCCCAAAATGCTGGGATTACAGGCATGAGCTACTTGCGCCCAGCCCATGTCACTTTTAAAGTTTGTTTGCAGCAGACACCACGGTGACTCATGCCTATAATCCCAGCACTTTTGGAGGCTGAGGCAGGTGTGTCACAAGGTCAGGAGTTCAAGACCAGCCTGGCCAAGATGGTGAAACCCCATCTCTATTAAAGTACAAAAAAATATTAGCCAGGTGGGGAGTGGGCACCTGTATTCCCAGCTACTAGGGAGTCTGAGGCAGAGACTTCCTTAAACCTGGGAGGCAGAGGTTGCAGTGAGTCGAGATCACACCACTGCTCTCCAGCCTGGGTGACAGGGCAAGACTCCATCTTGAAAATAAAAACTTTTTAAAAAAGTTTATTTGCACCATCTCAACTCTTCCCACCCATAATCACAACTGAATGATTGGCATCCAAACACTTTACCACATATGGATGTTTATTATTTAGTAGAATCCAATTTAATTGCATTTTATGAATTAAACAAAACCCTAAAATGTTAATTTCCTTTTTTATGTTAAAAGCTTTGTGCTTGGCCAGGCGCGGTGGCTCAGACCTGTAGTCCCAAGGCCTAGAAGTTTGGGACGCTGAGACAGTGGGACGCTGAGACAGGTGGGACGCTGAGACAGGTGGAACACCTGAGGTCAGGTGATTGAGACCAGCCTGGCCAACATGATGAAACCCGTCTCTACTAAAAATACAAAAATTAGCAAGGCATGTTGGCAGGCATGTGTAATCTCAGATACTCGGGAGACTGAGGGAGGAGAATCACTTGAACCCAGGAGACAGAGGTTGCAGTAAGCCAAGATCATACCACTGCACTATAGCCTGGGTGATGGAGACTATCTCAAAAAAAAAAAAAAAATCGGTTTGTGCCATTCTCACATAAGAGTACGTCCTCTGACTATAAAAATCCTGGAAGAAATCCTAGGAAATGCTCTCCTGGATATCATGCTTGTCAATTAATTTATGGCTAACTCCTCAAAAGCAACTGCAAGAATAACAAAATTGACAAGTGTGATCTAATTAAGCTAAAGGGCTTCTGCACAGCGTGAGGAACTATCACTGGATTAAACAGATAGCCTAAATAATACAAGAAAATATTCACAAACTATGGATACAGCAAATGCTTATTATCCAGAATCCACAAGAGACCTAAACAAATCAACAAGCGAAAAATAAATAACACCGTTAAAGCTGGGCAAAGGCCATGAACAGACACTTCTCAGAATAACATATGTAAGTGGCCAACAAACACATTAACAAATGCTTACCATTGATAATCATCAGAGAAATGCCAAATAAAACATCAGTGAGATACCATTTCACACCCAGTCAGAATGACTTTTGTTAAAAAGTAAAAAACATATATATATAAACATATATATATATATGTTGGGGAGGCTGTGGAGGAAAGGAAACACACACTGTTAGTGGCAATATAAATTAGTTCAGCTGCTATGGAGAGCAGTTTGGAAATTAAGTACTAAGAATGACCGTTGCATGAAGCAACCTCATTACTCTACTAGGGGTATGCCTAAAGGACAATAAATCATTGTAACATAAAGATGCATGAACATGTGTGTTCATTGCAGCACTATTCAAAATAGCAAAGACATGGAGTCAATCCAGGTGCATCCAAGGTAGATTGAAAATCCAAGCTAGATTGGAGAATTCCATATATACAATGGAATACTTTGCAGCCATGAAAAGAACAAAATCAGGCCCTTTGCAGCAACGTGGATACGGCTGGAATCTACTACCCTACTCAAACTAACACAGAAACAGAAACCAGATATCTCCTGCTTTCACTCATGTGAGAGCTACACATTGGGTGCACATTATCATAAACATGGGAATAATAGACACTGAGAAATAAGAACGGGGAGGGACAGAGTGGGCCAGGGTTGAAAAACTACTTATTGGGTCATATGCTCACTACTTGTGTGATGTGTTCAATTGTACTCCAAATCTTGGCATGCCTCAATATACCTTTGGAAAAAAACCTCCACAGGTACCACCTTAATTGAGAATACAAACTAGAAAAAAAAATTAATAAAAGAAAAATTTACCATAAAAAAGTTTAGTATAAGTAGAGAATAGAAATTTCTTTTTAAGATAAAAATTTATTGGAGTAAAAAAACAGATTAAACTTTTATAAAGGGGAGGTTCTGCTAAGAATTTCAAAGTAATGCATTCATTGTAAAAGATGACTTTAATTTTCTTTTTCTTTTTGAGAAAAGGTCTCACTCTGTTGCCAGTCTGGAGTGCAGTGGTGCAATATTGGCTCACTGCAACCTCCAACCCCTGGCTTCAAGTAATTTTCCTGCCTTAGCCTCCCAAGTAGCTGGGACTACAGGTGTGGGCCACCACGTCTAGCTAATTTTGTATGTTTAGTAGAGACCAGGTTTCCTCATGTTGGCCAGGATGGTCTCGATCACCTGACCTCGTGATCTTCCCGCCTTGGCCTCTCCAAGTGCTGGGATTCCAGGCATGAGCCACCACACCTGGCCATTGTTTAACCTTTGTACTAATAAACACCACCTTTCTAAAATTATGTATATGCAATAGACCAATATTAACTGTGTTTTTGTCCAATTACTCTAAGCAACATTACACAGATACATCCTCTGTTATCTAAATTAAAATAAGTAGAAAATTTACTTTATGTATGTGATTATTTTTCTTTTGAAGCAAACTTCAAGTTATGTCTAGTCACTAAAAATACTAAAGACCACAATTTGTAAGTGATATATTATTTCATGATAATGTTTTTGTTTAACTTAAACATTATTATTATTTTCACTTATTTTAGATGGAGCTGGACTGTGTAGAACAAATAATTAGAGAGACAAAGAGAAGTATGTTACCAAAATTTATTCCTTAAATTTAGGTTTATTTTAGAAATAAAATTTAATAACAAATGGCATTCCTTTTCATTGTTGGGTTAGTAGATACCATCTTAAGTATTTTTCTCTTATGCACATCTAATGAAAGATATGAAAACAAAAACTTCCACAGAGAAGACTGTCCTTGTGCACCATAAATTCATCACATCCCATAGCTTCAAAAATTCCCAAGAAGTCTATGCATCTCTTTTTCACTGGATCTACACTTTCTTAAGTTTTTCCATCCTCATGGAACTGTCAGCCAGCACCCTGAAACGATTCTCAGAAAACAAAGGCATCATCAAGTTCTCAGGGTTTTGGTAGAGATTGAAGGCCAACAGATGTCAAATTCATTCAGAAATACTTAGCTGAGCAATAACCCTTCATAGGCAGTCACTTGACAAGTGACATTTTAAATCTCCTGTCATTTACTGTGTCATTGGCTTATGTCTGTTCTCAGGAAAAGTTCGAACTTTTTCACCATGAAATAAAAACACCCACATCAATGTGATTCCTGTCAAGTTACTCAACCTTGTCTCTCACCACTTACTGCACTCTGCCCTTTGCTCTAGCGCCAAACTGGACGGAGCGGAACTCTGCAGGGCTCTTCCCCACCTCAGGCTCTTTGCCTGCACCTCTTCCCTCTCTCTGATGAGCTTTTCCTTGTCCTTCAGGTATCAAGTTATATTATCGCCTCCACCAGAAAGCCCATGATATTGACATAAAAGTGGGATAGAGGACCCTTCTGTGTGTTCCAGTAGTGCCCTGCTGTATACCTCTTGTGTATCCATGACTCTATATGGACATTGTCTTGTCTGGTTTTTTTGGGTATAGCTTATGACTGTTGGGAGGTGGACCATACCATCTTCATCTTGAAATTCTAGTGCTGGTTCTAGAATCTTAGCACGTGTCTGTTGAGTAGATGAATGAAGAATGAAAAAGCTCTGATATTTAAACACAATTAGATTTAATGTCATGTGTAAATTATTTAATAATAATTTTGTATTGTAAATGTACATACATATTTCTCATTCTTATTAACTCTGATAAAGTTCTCAACTCTTTAGTTTTTAAAATCACACTGAGCTAACCAAAGTGTTTTAGGTAAAGAACATAATTCTTTGTTTTTCTTTCCAGCTGTTGCTGTGTTGGACACTTTCACCCGTCTACTTTCTTCTGCAGAATCCACTGGTAAGCCACGTCTAATCAAGAGAATATTTAACCATAAAATCATAAGGACAAATTTTGTGATATAAAAGATTATAAAACTTTATTACTGGGCTATTTACACAACATTTTAATTGTTTCTTATAAAATATACAACATCACAATCTTTACTGAAGTAGGATATTTTGTATCATATGTATGAAGATAACTTGTAGGGTATTTTAAATGATGTTTTTCAGTCTCCTTCAGTTTTAAGTGGATCTTGAAGATGAAAACCAGTATTATTGAGTTTGACATACTCAAATTGCCCAAATGCCAGCTATTTAAACAGCCAAACAACCAAGTCATCATTGATTCTTTAGTAAAGGTCATCGAAGACTTATTTGCATATCACAGTTTTATTACTTAGGAGACCTAAGGAGTACCTGCCAGGCTTGTCCATGCTAATGTTATGATTTTCTTTTTCTAGTTGAACCGTATTTTGTGTGGTGATGATCTGAGGCTCTGTAAATATCTGGTTACTCCTCAAAACACACTAGATTTGGCATTTCATGGATGACTTGTGTTTGAACAATTATTACTGCAATGGTTGCCAGGTGATTATTTTCTGATTCTCTTCTTTGTTCTACATGGAGAAATAAAACCAATAAATAAGGGAGAAGGGAAAGCTCATGTTTCTGGTGCTCCAATTCCCCAAGATTAGGCCAGTGGTAGATATTCTAAGCTGACTCTTTATGTCTTTTTGATTTGTGCCTGTTACTCTGTCAGCACTTTACTTTCTGGCACAAGATGTTCTAAGATAATCTTGTGTTTTCTCTGCCCCAGCCCTGAAATGAGTGATTTTTTTTGGAATCAGAGGTGGAGCCACTGAGGAAGTATAGGCGAGCCCTCCCCAGCATGTGCTCACTGGTCCTCAACAGAAGAACAGCTGCTGCATCCACTGAGGTACCAAGAAACTAGCAAAGGGCCTTCTGGCTGTCTGGGGTCAGTCCTCATGTGGTCCCTGGCTCAGCCTCAAGGGTTCTGGGTTAGTCTCCCCTGCAGCCTCTGTGCTGTGTCTCTAGATCGGGCTCTGCGGGAAGGGCCCCGGGAGACCCAGCAGCACAGGGTGTCTCGTCTGCCAAATGTCCCTCCCTTCCTCCCACTCTGACACTCAGGAATAGGGTAGATGGGGTTTCCAGGCTGTGCCAGGCCACCTCACTGTCTCCTCTGAGATGAACCCTGAGGGCCTTGGGGATGAGTGTGAAGCTGGCTACCTGGAGCCTGAGGCTGACTGTCTCTCCCTGTGTCTTGGAGGAGAGGCCTTGTCCCAAGAAAACCCCCAGGGCCTGACCCCTGGGCATGCATGCAGGGAGGAGGGTCTGTGGGCTAAGGGGGGGCATGGTAATGAGACTTTAAGCAGCACTGCTCAGGGGCCGGGTGGGTAGACCGTGGTCAGAAATGACCTGGTCATTAGGACCTAGTCAGTTGGTACCTGATCACCAGGGGCCTGGTTAGTGGTGTTCTCCTCAGTAAAGTTCTCATCAGTAGGGACCTGGCAACCTAGTCATTGGAAGCCTGGTCAGTGGGGACATGGTCAGTGGGGGTCTTATTAGTGGGGCCTCATCTGTTGGAACATAAACAATGAAAAACTGGTTGGTGGAGCCTATACAGTATACCAGGGGCCTGGTCAGTGTGGGGCCTTAGTGGCTTGGAGCTTGGTCAGTGAGGGCCTGGTCAGAGGGGACTTGGTCCGCTGGGGACTGATCCATGGAGATTTGTTCAGTGAGGGATGGGGGGGCAACAACCTGGGAAATTGTGGTCTTGTCAGTGGGAACCTGGACAGTGGGGACCAGGTCAGTGGGAAATTGGTCAGTGGAGTCTGGCCCATGAGGCCGATTAAGTGTGAGCCTGGTTAGGAAGACATGGTCAGTTGGGACTTGGTCAGTGGGACCTGGTCAATGGAGGAGTGGTCATTAGGGGCCTCGTCAGTAGGGATCTGGTCAGGGGCGGCTGGTCAGTAGGAACCTGGCCATCTGGCCACTGTGTGACCTCAGGCAGAGGGTTTGTCTGTGGAGTCTCCTTGCTTCCATCTGCAGGGAAGGTGAGTCAGGGCACCCTGGCAGGTGGCTGGTAAAAGAAGATGAGAAGATGTGTTGTATCCAGCACTGTTTGGCAGACCTACAACTTTACACAGGACCTGTATTCCACCTAGAGAGGATGCCAGCCCTTTCTGCTCTACACGGTGCCCCTCCTTTGTCTGCATTCCCAGGACTCCCATGGATGGGGAAGGCAGAGATTAGAGAGCACCTGTAGAGGCTCTAATGCTGGCCATGGGCCCTGGTTGTGACAGTGGTGAGACCTGGGTGCTTCCCTGAGTGTAGAAGCTAAGCCTGGCCAGAGAAGCAAGACAAACACACACATACGCACACACACACAGGCACACACACATGCACAAACACACTGCATGCACACGTGTCAGTTCAGGGGGTAGAGGACACTGACCCTGGGCCCTCTTGACCCAAGCAGGCTCCAGATGTGCTGGGTTGTGTCACCCCACGATGTCATTGTTGCTGAGCCCCCATCGCCTCTGTGTTGTGGAGCAGTTAGAGGCACACAGCAGAGTCCGTGAGTGGCTCTGCGTGAAGGACTGTTTTCTATGTGAGAAGCACATCTCAGCACAGCTGACTCATCAGACTCAGGTGAGTGGGACCTGCTCTCTTCTCTTCCTCCTGGCTTGGGGACAGTTGCTATCAGGTGGGTGGTTTTGGCCTCTGGGCAGCTACTGAGGATAAACCCTAAACACTCACCGGGTGCCTGTTCTGCGCTGACAGTCATCTCATTCATCCTCACAGCAATTCCATTCTGAATCTCCTCTGGACACCCCCAGGACCACCAGGACAACCCCATCAGGGCCCTGTCACCAGGCCCAGTCTGGCTCCATGATAACCAAGACGCAGGTCCAGAGACAAGCGCCCTGCATGGTGCCTGCATGTGACTCCCCTTGGTGGGTAGTGACCAGCTCACCATGGAAGAAGCCAGGGCAGCATGCGGCCAGCTGCCCTGCAGCCCCAGATGACTCCTGGGCCTTAAGAAGTCATTCTTAAAGGGAAAGCCGGTCACTTTGAGGTCCCTGGAAGGAAGGGTGAATGTGTCATCCCAACAGCCCTGGCAGCCAGCAGCATGCCATACATCTTCTCACCCGATCTTTGTGACAGAGGCCACCTTCTGGGGCACAAGTCCCATACCTAAAGGGTCCTATCTCAGTCGGCCTCATCCTGAGCCCTGGGATGGGAGAGGCACCATGCACCCCCCTGCAGCAGCCAGGATTACCACCCAGGGGACTCATCCTTCTGTGGCCCTGGCCAGACTTAGAATTTGGCCCAAGACAGGACAAGCTCAGTCAGAGCAGCTTGTCAGGACCCAGGGCCTATGTATGCCAGACATGGCCACGCTGGCTCAAAGAGCAACCAGCCACCTCTGCAAGGGTGTGCCAGGAGCAGGTGGACCAGCCACCAACCTCATCCACTCAAGAAAAGAGAGATGGCCAGCTTCCCACACCCTGAGTGACCACCACCTGACAGCTGATGAAGTGGAAGCCTGAGGAAAAGCAGATGGCACTGGGGCCCTGCTTCCAGGGCAGAATAACTGATTGACCCTGACTGGCAGTGAGTTGGGGACTGGTCCACCTGCTCCTGGCACACCCTTGCAGAGGTGGCTGGTTGCTCTTTGAGCCAGCTTGGCCTTGCCTGGCATGCACAGGCCTCAGTGCAACAACTGCGCTGCAAATGGAGCCACATAGAGGATATGAGCAGCAGGCTCAGGAGCAGGCTGTGCGCTGCCTTTGGGGCTCCAGCCCATGCATCAGGGCTCCTACAGCACTGTGGGCTTCTTGGGTGCCATGAGGCAGACCACAGGCCATCCTGAGGAGGACTCTGGTAAGAGCTTCCTTGTGTATGTGGATGATGTCCAGGATGTTGGCCTGGTGTCCCTGAGGCAGCACTAACAGGTCCATGACTGGGTCCAGGTCCTGCCTGGGCTGATTGGTGAAGATCTCCCTGGCAGCACTGAAGTGGCATCTATGTTCAAGTGCAGAAAGGGCCCAGTCTGGTGGATGAACCACATGGCCAGCTTCTGGGTGTGGGCAGGATGCCACATCCTTTGTCACTTCCCGATGTGCCCCACCAGCACTGAAGAGACAGCCTGGAGACAGGGCAAGAGGAAGGCTGAGAACGATGAGATGGTGAGTCCCAGATTCTTCCTGTCCCTGAGCCCACCCTGAGTGACCCTCAACCTTTAGGAATGGGAGAGCAAGATTGACAGCTTCAAGTACTTCACCAAGAAGATGGACAACAGGGCACTCAGCTCAACTTCACAGCCAATGAGTTGACATGCAAGCAGATGATGGTAACAGGCTTTAAGAAAGAGCATCAGATGGCAGCCAGTACTTCAGCCTCAGCCAGGCATTGGAGTCGGACCAGGCCATCCACTTTACCATAGAGGCCTTCCACGCTATCAGTGAGCTCTTTGCCAGTCAGCCCAGGCAGGACCTGGACCCAGTCATGGACCTGTTAGTGCTGTCTCAGGGACACCAGACCAACATCCTGGACATCATCCACATGCACAAGGATGCTCTTACCAAAGTCATGGAGAGCCGGCAATATGTGGCAGAAGTGAAGACAGAGGTGCAGAGACTGATGACGTCAGAATCACAGGAACAGGATTTCTTTGGCTACTTTGGCTGAAATTCACCACTTTCATCCAATTCGAGTGAGAGACATGGACTCACAGATGCTGCATTTCTTGCAGCAAAAGATACTGTTTTTTCAAAGTCACCCAGGAATTGATAGTGTTGAATGACTAGCTACTCGATCATGGACTGTTTTGAGTTCAAGGATTCATTCTACAGAGAATAATAACACTAGAGCAAAGAGCTAGTGTCCGATATCGGTGGTAGCACAAAGATGGTTTTGTGATCAACTGAAATCCAGCTGAATACAGAATTGTGTAGGAAACAGTTAATATGATGATACAATAGAAACAGTAGCAAACATGAATTAAATCATGCTATGAATGCATAAACTATCATTGTAACTTTTGGAAGAATGATACCACTTTACTGCTTTTTGAAGTATGAATATTTTAGTGTATGTGCTATAGGCCTCAAATCCTATAAAGAATCTCCAAGAAGTTGGCTGGATAAAGTCTACTGTGGATGTATTTATACTCAAAGATTGATGATGTAATTTGCATGTTTGTCCCCACCAAATCTCCTGTTGAATTATATTTCCTATTGTGGAAGGTGGATCCTGGTATAAGGTGATTGAATTATGAAGGCAAATTTCTCATGAATGGTTCAGCGCAATCCCCTTGTAGCATCCTCACAATCATGAGTGACTTCTCATTAGATCTAGTCACTGAAAACTCTACGTCACCTCCCTACTCTCCGTGTTTTCCTCTTGCCATGTGAGACAACTTACTCACTCTTTCTTTGTCTTCCACTTCCACGATGATTGATAGATGTCTGAGGCCTCCCAGAAGCAGAAG